GAAAAACGATGAACATATACAAACGCAGCTTTATATATTAATATGATAGAAGTTCCTGCGTAGAAAATGCAGAAGATGAGGCTGGCATATGGATGGACTATGGTATTAGAGCGATCATCCATGTCGTACGTTGGGTAATTATTATATCGGGTCCTTATAATTCGTCTTACACGTATCATTTGCCTTTTGTTGATTATCTCCTTATTCTCTAGATGAAAACGCTTGCAAATTAGCTTATAAAACAGAATACATCTATTATACCCAGAATCCGGCTACAGCTATCATCTTAAGGCTCTTTCACCTGCAAACATGAATCCATGATGCCGCCGCTACATCAAGACGTCATTCAGCCAGACTCTCAACTTTACGACCAATGGGACAATTTGGTCAATGTGAGGAATGCAAAGCTCAAGAACAGTATGCAATTGGTGTCAATACTGCGATGTCGAACGTATCAGAATAATTTGTGAATTGGACGAGTGGCAGCGAAGAAATTGGTGATTTTATTCAAGAAGCTCAACGTAAGGCAACCAATATCAGATCTATCTCGGAATGAATGAATTCGCAAACGTGAGCATTTGCAAATGGTGGTAACAGCTCAGAGTAGGTATATTTTGAATTATGTTTGATATGTGTTTCTCGTATCAATATTAATCTCGATTATGGACTTAGTTAGATTTACGGCATATGACTTCGAGGACCTATTCAGACATGAGACGCAATGGCGATGAATGGGAGCGAGGCTGGAGAAGAAAGACTTACACGCTGGCAACATTCTGCGATTCGGTACCTGAACAATGATGAGCGATCTCGGTCTTTGCTGAAATAATTCTTCTGTGGCTGGAAATGAAAAGACGGTTCATGGAGTGCTTCCTTATGTAGCACCAGAAGTTTTACGCGGAATGCCATACACTCTGAGCAGCCGATGGAATGATTATGTATGAACTATGGTCAGGCAATCGCCCTTTGATTGGAAAGATTTCAGAAGCTCAATCGTCGGGGGTATCATATTATCCTCGTTGGCACAAAGGTTCTCATTAAAAAAATAAGAGATTATCAGCCACGACAACAAGTTCAGCTTGAAAAAGAATTAGAAGAAAGTCGTTCAGTTAACATTAAAATTTTAATTATTTCAATTATTTCTTTTATTTTATTTATTTTTTTTTTATTTTATTATTTTTTTTTTTGATAATATGGAGCAAAACCAATTGATTGGACAATAAAATTCTTTTGTAAGCGATAATAAAAATTTTTCTTTTTCTCCTATGACAAAAATGACCTTGACAAATATACAAAGATGTGAAATTTGCTTAAAAACCCAGAATATTACCCAAAATAATCTTGTTGCATGGTGTAAACAGACGTTAAAAGTGAAAGTCGATCAAACGACAATATCTCGATTGCTAAAACGATCAAGTGAGTTCTTGGATATAGACGAATTGCATAAGCCCCTCCAGAAACGTGTTTGAATTGTAAAATGCCCAGAACTTGAGGAAGCATTATTAGAATGGTGCCTACGAACGGTGATGGTTCGCACAAGTTAAAGCCACTTGTCATTGGCAAAAATGCTAAATCTCGTTGTTTCAAGAATATCAAGCTTGAACATCCATCTTGAAGTAATATATCGGTATCTTGGATGACAGCTATTTTGTTTCAGGAATGGTTACGTTATTTTGATCAACAAATGCAAGGCCGGAAAGTTCTCCTTCTTGATAACGCTCCAAGTCATGTAGTCGCCGGTGTGACATTGAATAATACAACAATCGAATTTTTACCACCAAACACAATATCGCAATTACAGTCTTGTGATGCAGGGATAATTGCATCTTTTAAGGCACATTATCGGAGGAAGTTTGTGCGATAGTTGTTGGAACAATTTGAAAATGAGGTGACATCAGGTAAACTATCAATTCTAGAGGCAATCTTGTTATCCGAGAATCATGGCAAGAGGATGTAACAGCCGTGACAATTGCCAATTGTTTCCGACATGTCAAAATCCGAGATGACGATGTAGTATCAGAGGTAGAAAGTGATAATAATAAGATAAGCATGAAGTTATAAAAGCAATAGGTCAAGCTTTACAGTTATTACGCTCGCTATCAACATCCCATGAAAGTCAATGATTTTTTAAACCCAGAAAATGAAAATACTGTTAATGAACAGTTTACGGAGGAAGAATTTGTCGAGCTTTTTTGCAGTGAGAGAGAAAATGAGGAAAGAGGCATAGCAATAGAGGATGAAGATGAGAGCTCAGAATCTCCGCCAGTATCAATTAAAGAAGCAACAGAGTCACTTAACAAATTAAACCGATTTTTTTTTGGGTCAGGAAGGTAATTATTCAAAAGAGGTTGGCAATATAATGAATGTTGGCTGTGTATTAGAAATATTGAAAGTCAAATCACTAGTACAAAAAGGTTTGAATGATTATTTTGTTGTAGACGAGAAATAAGAGTTGCAATCAGGGAATGCAAATAATTTAGGAAGTGGACAATTAAGCAGCATTGTTGTATGTCAGTTTGGAATTGTGTCCATTTCGGAAATAATCGAGTATTTATCCGCCGCTTTTACCGTGCATCCGCCGCTTTTTCCACTGAAATCCGGATTATTATCACGGTTATTTAGGTTATTATGTAGGCACGATGATGATTTCCAATTTAAGTCAAA